CCACCGAGATAGGTAACAGAATGATGATTTGAATTGCAACCTAAATAAAAATAACGACTAGAAAATGAATCTGATTCAAAGTAAGAATACTCACGATGATAGTGACCCAGGCAGCTGCTGAAAGTGAATCTCAAGTTTCTTTCAGGATCAGAAAGAATCCTGAGGACTAGGCTTCATTCAAATGTCGATTTTTAACAAGAAATATCTGTATGGGCACAAAATGCTTCTAAAAGTGGCAGCAGAGACAATATATTCTTTCATAGGCAGAAGGGACGTTTGGGCTGCATTTTAAGAAATTCGATTATGTAAATTAGCGCATTATTATCTGTGAAGACTAAATATTATATCTCTCGTATGCAATGAGGATGTGGGTGTGAGTATGGGTGTAGCTATAGCTGTGGGTGAGGGTATTCACTACTATTACTCTACCAACACCCTAAACACATTCACACCCACACCCATCTACCACACCCATCTACCACGCACACCCTACCCCACATCCACAACCACACCCACACCCACACCCGAGGGAGTGAGCCACAGAAAAAGAAAAGTTTTTTGACGCATATGCCTCTGTTCCTTTTTCGCGAAAAGACGATGTCTTTGCAGACACCATACCTGTATAGACGTCTTTACTTGCATAGTAAATATTTCATACGAAAATGGAGAACGGTGCATTTTGTTGACTATCAGCAGTGTGTTTTTTTCTTACTTCCAAGACAAACAACACAAAGTCAATACACGCATAAAGCAACACTGAGTCAGCAGGTACTGTGATGCTGTTCACAGCACTTCGATGAAATCAAATTTCGTAGACGTTGCCGTGTAGTGTAATCAGCAAGAGTATGATTATACGCCTTGAAATGCCTCCTACATGCGAAAATACAGGTTTTTTGTAAAACTTCCAAAGATTGGTACTAGATTCCGAAGGTTGTGGGTAGGTATGGGTGATGATGTGAGTGCGAGCGTAGGTGTGGGATGTAGGTGTGAATGTTTGGTGTGAGTGGCTGTTGTTCTCCTAGTCATCAACCATACTCACACGCGCAGCGGCACTCATATTTCACACACCCATATCCTCAAGTCCAACAAACACATGTATAAACTTTTTTTCCAAGGAACGATATAGTTATATTTTTGTTCCATTGATGACGTCTTTAGATATCGATTTGAAAGAGGTACATATAGTTGCGCACAACGGAACGAGTAAAAAATGCACATTAAAAACAATGTTATCTGACTTCTTTTCCATTTGTAATATGAAATGAGTCCTACCTAAGTTTTAGTTACTTGAGACTGAAGTTCAGATGAAAAGCATATAAAATTTCTGTAAATTGATGAATACTTGAGGAGTTTTAATACGATTAATTTTTTTTCATTTGACTTCATACATTGAAAAAGTTCGTCACACTCAAATGACATCACCAAATATTCTTTTAAATTGCTTTTTTCGAAAAAATAGGAAATTGTTTCTATCAAGTTTAACCCAATACATTTAAAATAACTAATAGTTGTCAGGAAAATGAATCATATTTGTTTATGCAAAGTTGATAAATAATGAAATCTTATTTGTTCTCTTTTTATACATTCTCTTGGTTTCAATAAATAGATATTCAATTTAACTGCATCGATGTCTGCTTTTTCACTCCAAAATGATGCTAGGATGTGGGTATGGATGATAAATAGTAGAACAATATTTACTCACACCGAACATGCACACCTACACCCTTCCGAGGAGGCCTTACAAAGAAATTTTATTAGCATAATTTTAAATGCATTACTAATTTTTTTCCAGTCAATTTCATTTCTATTATTGTGCACATGAAACCATTTTCTAATGCTTCCTCATTTCTCTACATGTTGAATTTATTTAATATCATGAAACAATGTCAAGACGTAATAAATGATTTACATAGTCACTTTTTTTAATATTTTTTGATTGCATCTCTCTATATGAAACAACATATTTAAACATAACAGATTTCTTATTAAGAACTTCGTCTATCTCTCTCAAAATTGACAAGAGTAATGATGCACAGATAAACCAATATTTGGATTTTAGGTCGTAGAACTCTTTATATCACATCTTACACATATCAGAATGAGTGTGAATATGTTTTTTCGCTACCTAAATTCACACTCGTCTCATTAAAACGCAAATCAACACCTATACTTTCATTCATCATATTTTCTATTCATACTTCAATATGATTTCAATATTGTGTAATATTCTCATTACAAAATGGTAAAAATGTCAACCATCGTTGCTACTGATGATTTATATTAACAAATGCGCCGAAAAAAACTCACTTATTCTCTCTTCCTCTTACTCATTTTTGCTAGGTATATGATTATAATTTGTCAGTTTATTGCAAGTATGTGTGTTGTAGCAGGGGTAAAACCCGTCATCAATCATCATGTTTATTTATGTTATTGCACAACGTCATCGTAAGCTGTCGACAACCCCATCTGAAAGTATAAAAAGTCCTGTAGAATCACTTTCATCTTCATCCGGTGCCGAGCAGTTTCAGAGTACAACAACGTGGCAAAAAACAACAAGTTGCGGGCGACAACACAACTTCTCGAACTGTTTCAGAATCGACACTAAAACTTTCTTCGTAGTTTCTCAGGTTTTCTAACTTGAGAGTTACACGGCTTTTGGATTTGTCGCACTGAAAAAGTAACTCAGCTATCACTCTTTACCATGAGAGTGCTCATGAGTATAGTACGACAAGTTCGATTGCCACCTTTGTGAATGACGTGTTGAAGCCAGTTTCGTTTGATAAGTAATGGCGAACTGGACTTACGTATTCACTCGGTAGCAATCGTAAAACTGCATTGCAAAAGTAAAATAGAATTAACTTCAAAACATTGCGAATACATTCATGTGGTGCCGCCAAATGCCTACAGCCATAAGTTAACATAAAAAGTAATGGCTTAAATTCTATTGCTCAGTAGTTTCCTTTCAGAAACAAATACTACTTGTCGCATAATGAATAAATTGAAAATGGCGTGTGACTGCGACTGTAGGTTAAAGTTTTTGTCTTGGTAAAATAGATGCTTGTACTTCTGTCATTCCGTAAGCTAATTTATTAATCAAAAATATGTTTTATGCAGAAATGTCTGCTTATTTAGCTTAAATATTTTAGAATTTCATATTGTCTCTCTGATAACTTGCTTACTTAGTAAAAGTTTCGGAGGCACGTTTGTCCTGTTTTTCACAAATATATTGTCTTGCACTTCGGTAGGTGTAGATTTAATGAGTTGCAATCGCTGTACGAAACATACTGTCAAATAATATGTTAGAATAACACAATTAAATCAAAGCTTTTATTTCTTCTGAGAAGATGATGGAAAGATGTAAACTTCTTTGACCGGCTACCATTGGAGGTGTTTGAAGTGATAAGCAAAATAAGCAGTATTTATTGGCATCAAATGAAAGCTCTCAGCGCCAAATTAGGAGGGTTGAAGCACTAGCGGTAGAGATGTGCACTCCTTCCCGCCGCTGCAATATCAAATTTCATAAACGTTTTGGAGGCCGCGTTGTCGAAAAGAATTTTTAGGACGGCGATAGCGCAGCCGGGTGTAGATGCACAATGTAGATATTAGTATTCTCTTCACCCACACAAACCGACGCCTGCCAATCTAGAATCACACCTACATCCAGATCCACAACAACACTCACACTCACACTCACACTCTCAAGCCGACGGAAAGGCAGAGTATCTGTTTCCCTTGTGAAAGATTTCTTGTTGCCATTTCGTACGAATCCTGTTTGTCATGAATTAATTGCTAATACAAGACGCAAATTTATCGATAAAAAGGTGAGAAACCAATTGAATATTGATTAAATTGGCCGATTGTTTGGCGAAACTGCAAACAAAGAAGATCCAAAATGTCTTCTTCAAGCAGATCCTTCTGAGACCAACTTTTATCAGTTATTGGATATATTTCTTGTGCAAACACAGTTAACGAAGACAGAATCAATGAAAGTTGATGTCAATAAGTATTGTGGTTGAATTGCGGCTGTAGATGTGGGTGGGTTCGGATGAAGGGAATAATAAAACTCACACCCCACAACCACTGCCAGACGGCCATATCAGGGGCGGCGGAACGTATTGAAATGAGGTGAGGCTCAAAAATAGCTTTTCACATATTAGCATGAGACAAAGTGAGTGAATTTTAGGTGATAAGCCGCTCTTAGACTATATAAATTTTTTCCAATCAGAAAATCAATACGTTAACTTATGTCATCCTTGGCTAACAACATGTTTAAATCTTTATAGAAAGACAAAAATTTTTAAAAAAATGAGGACCATTTATTTTACAGTAGAGCATTGAAGGGGGCCCCCCTCAAAAAAGTCGATTTTTCAAAAAAAAATCGAAATTGAGTTTTTACCATGGGAGGATGCACTGAAGTCTCCTCTTTCAGAATATACATGGGTTTTCGAAAAACGAACGGATTTTGACGGACTTATCGATAAAAAGTTGAGCCTAGTATCATGTTTTTCGAGAAATTTTCTCAATTTTGTTTCTGAAGTTTTTCAGTTTTGCAGAGATACCTTGCCATTTACGTCAACATTGAATAAAAGGTTGTTTTATTAATCATTAAGAGCCTGCTAACACTTAAAAGCTTCCCGCTCTGCTTAGAAAAGTCGATTCTTCGAGAAAAACTTGATTTCAAAATTTAAACATATTCTGATGGTGCTTGAATTGGACTTCAAGCTAGCAAATTCATTTACGCTTCGATGCTGTTGAATTGATTACGCATATTTATACAAATATGCAATGCATTTTCCCTTCCTATGCATTATATCGAAACTATTTTTCCAGTGAAAACCTACTTTCTTTCTAATCTACCCTCAGAAACAAAGATTCTAATCTACTCTGAGTAGTTTCCAACACTAACAACGATAAATGTGCAAACAAAAAAAAAGTGAAACTTATCAGTCTAATTTTTGCAAAAATATATTTATATACAACAACAAGATAACAATAGCACTTCAAAAGGCGCCAGAGTGATATTCTTCAATTGTATCATCATTCTTATCTTCATCATTGTCAGTATCTTCATCACCGGCTATTTGTTTTTCTCGTCTCTTCCTCCATTGTGCTTCTATTTGTACATGTTGTTTATTTATGCGATCAAAAGCAACATAAGAAAAATGACCCATTTCACCTACGAAACAAAAGCTTGGAATTAGAACTTTTGAACAGAAACAAAAAATAATCTGAGATATATCTAATAGTTCGTGTAGTATTTCACCGATAGATAAGTAACCGTCGTTATAGATCATAACAGCCAACCCAAGGCAGACTAGAAAGAAGGAAAAATTCGGATGAACTATAATACCAGTAAAAAAACTCTATCTTTTACATACTATCAATAATAGTTCCACTACAATATCTGTTCTTAGGAGCCATAGACCATAACAATGAGTGAAATGACTCATTAGCATTTTGGCTGGATCCATTAAGTACATGTTGTAAAGTTTCTTCTAAAAAAAATCATAAACAAAACAGTAAAAATCATTATGAATAGAAACAACTTACTAGAAGCCAGGTCTTCAAATACAGTTTTAATAGCTTCCATAACATATTTTGGTAAAGAGTGTTTCTGCTGATCATATTTTGTGCCTGTTTTAAAATAAACATAAATATTTAACGAACAGTTAGAACAAACTATGTGGATAAGAAGAACAAACGTTATAAAAATCATTTTGTAGATACCTGTTAGTAAAGACCTTTTGTAGCCACACCAATCACCACACCAGTCATGATCAGGTTCTTCATTTGTTGATATCTAAAAGGTTATCAATATGATTACAGTGAAGACTGCCCCTTTCTATTATAGGATGTTCTCTTACTCTATGTTTATAAATTGCCCATGTACGTTTATGCATCATGTCTATATCATTTTTATATTCATTGATTACTTTTGCATAGTAAAACTTGAACTTTATCATCATTTCTACACTAAATAAACAAAAAACATTATGTATTTATGAAAAAAAGTTGTGTCAAGAATTCTTTACTACTTACCCTTGGTCAATCGATTAATACCACCAATTCCTTTTCGTTTTTTTTCTGGATCTAGCATTGTATCTTTCAACTCTTGAGTCAACTTTTCCAACCGATATAACATTTTCTTTGACCAATGATTGATGCCTTCGATTTTTTCAATTTCGATACCTGGATATGGAGGACGTTGAGTAAGATTCCACATGACCGACGAATCTCCATCTCCAATATAGCTGTAATATTTTAACAATGAATAAAACATATGTTATTTAGTCTTTTTATGTTTGTACATACCGAGTGTACTGAACTTGATACTTTGGAACCGAACGTTTAAATATGTCGTGAATACCTTGTGGTTCCATACCTCCTAGAAAAGTTCAACATAGATTCATTTTCAGTTTTTTGATAGACAAATCCTAACTTACCAGATGAACCATCATAATTTGATTCATAGTCATGATTATTGATAATTTCGTCATATAAGTTTAGATCTGTATTTTTGACACTCAATGCACCAGTGCATATCGCACATTTTTTTGATAAACGCTGAACATCGAGTACTTTTGGTGTTGTGTTGGACGATAAAACAGCAGCTAGTCCATGGATACTTTTGAAGCCTCGTCTTTGCCATGTTTCATCTCCACTAACTGTTAAGGTTGTTGGATCACCATCGTTCTCATCAACAGCTTCATCTAAAAGATAATAAGCATACGACGAAATGAAAAATCATATTATTGCGTTTTTTTTTACAAAATACATACAAATAGCAGCTTGCATTGATTGATGTTGAAATTTTTCGATACACGGTAATAAAAGTCTTCTATCAATTTCTTCATAGTGATCTTCTTGTACTGGTGGAGGTACATTCATCGCCCCAAATATTTTAGCTACACCAGCATGGCTAATTCCTGACAGATAGGCACCTAGAAAAGAAGCTATAATGTTATCAGAACTGAACGGAATAAGATAAGAAGCTTTCTCTGATTGAATCAGATACTGACTTACCTAGTTGAACACGTATATTGATATCACGATGTTTGGTGTCCGGAACCATCTTAGATGTGTTAGTTTGTATTGTATGTTGACATTTTTCGCATGTAAATGCTAATGAACAATATAAACCTAGATGCAAAAAGAAAATGAAACTGAATCATTTTTCTATAACAAGCCGAACAAGACTACTATCAACATCAAAATCATTTATACATACCTTCTCTCTTACTAATATGCATTTTCCCATTCCATTTTTCTTCACATCCAATACATATGTATTTCTCATCCATTCTAATAAAAAGCTGTTGTGGATTACTTGATAAAAATCCATTTCATCACTATCAGCTACTGCATTATTTTTTCTTCTTTCATATGCCATTATTTTTTGTTGTGAAGTGCATAAGTTATATAATGTACTGTTTGAAGATGATGAAGCTGTTGTCAAATTTAATGAATTAATGAATAGTTCTTCAACACTATTCGATAATTCAGATGACGACGATGATGATGAATGAGCTGGACGAGACAAATCCAATTGCTTAGCTTTAGATAACCGAGCTTTGCGACAAATTTTCACCTTGCACCTCTTTTGAATCTTATGACCTTTTGTAGTATGCATTTTAAATTTACTCTTTAGAAGTAAAGCATATCTGAAAATAAACAAATTTATAAACAACCACTGGTAAAGATGAAAGATCAGAAATGATGGTCAATGTAAAGCAATACATGAAGTCCAGCAGAAATCCATTTTCTACCTTCAGACGTGTCATTGATCGAAAAATTCACCAAACAAATTTTGACTCAAGATCTTTAGGATAAGCAATTGTCATTTAAGTTGTCAAAATGTATAGAAAAATACACACAAGCATCCCTAATAGTCAAAAACTTCAAAATGAAATGTTATCTCATGAATTAATCAGAAAATTGATAAAAACATGAGCGACTTCCAGTGACATCTGTGCATAAGGAGCCATGACCGCAACTTTGGCATGATATGTACTGTCAAGAGCATTATCATATATCCACCTATACGCCATCTAATAAAGCTTGACGAATAGTGCGAAAATATCAGATAATATAAGCAAACTTATTTCGAATATTTAGTCAAAAACATTGTTTTTCGTTTTTCTCAAAATCAATTTTTTTGGGCATACAGTTTACACGGGAAAGCTTTTCGTCATAATGACTCGATAGGGAAGTGATAATTTTTTTTTGTTACATAGAAGACTGTTAGGGCCAGATCCTAATAGAGCCCGATTTTTGAATTTCTCTTTTGCTGAAATAAAAAGCTTAGATCTTTGATTCTAATTGGCGATTTTTTGACCACACATTTGGGAATTTTTCGAAAAAGTTTTTTTTTTAAATCAAACAAAGGGAAATGAAAAAATCAGGCTCTATTAGGATCTAGTCCTAAGTGTACTCTACAATTTAAAAACCTCCTCGACATGCTAATCTCGAATCCTCATATTGAAAACCTTTCCCGCGTAAAGGGTATTTTTGACCAATGAATTGACTAGAACTTGTGCAAATCTTTGAGATTTGGGGAGATATTTTAACCATAATCTATTCTAGCCAAGACTAACATTCCCTGAAATTTTGGTTGAAATCGAATGAAAAATAAAAAAGTTTGTTTCTGGGGGGGGGGGGGGGGGGGGCTTAAGTAAAATAATAATTCTATGATGAAATATTAATTGTTATTTTATTAAATATTGATCAGATAGAAATTTTTGTCTGATATTCAATCATTCTTTAATATTTTTTTTTCAGTTATCCAATAGAGAAAATCAATAAATCTACTAAAATATTCTTTGCACATAATAAATAAACTTTAT